TGGTAGACAGCGTGTTGAGATTCCCTTTCTGACTCTTGTCCTGAGATTCCCTCTGTGCTTCTCCGAGGCCAGTGCTCTCAGATTCAGGGTTTTCCTTCTTCAGGCTAGAGAGACAGGCTTTGCCCCCAGCGGGCCTGCACTCCACCACCGTGCCCCTGGCCCCAAGCTAAACTCTTTGAAATTTTGCTGTTCCTGGCATGTCCCTTCCAGAATTTCCCTTCTTTTGTTCACTTTCCTGTGCCTTCAAGCGTCTGCTTTTTCTATGAATTCCTGACAGTATCGTTGTTTTCTGCTGGGGCGTTGGTCTGGCGGCATGTTTGTCGTTACAGAAAGCCAGAGCCCTGACCTCTCCCAGTTTCACACTCCGATGGTGGGTGTGGGGGACCAAACAAGGCTCCTGATCTGAAAGAACTTAAAGATGGTCAGGAATCAAGAATTAAGAAGTTCATGAAGGACAATATCAGATAGCAGACAACCAAGCACTAAGTTATGCGACATAAGTAGTAGAGTTTTAGAATAGCAATAGCCAATAATAACCGGTCCTTGTAACAGCCCCATACGGTTAAGCTGTGTGTGCAACGTCCCTTAGCGTTGAGCCGCGGTTCCAAAAATGCAGCCTGATTCTAGGGGGTGATTCTGTAATCTCCGCATCCCGATGGTTAATCGAACATTTGTTTTCATGGTGCCATCCCCTAGAGCTTCACTCAAGACAAACACATTCACGACCCTGCTGTGCAACCCCGAGCGATGGGCCGCCACAGCGCTCCGCTCTGCCTTGGGAGGAGTCCAGCTCCGCCTGAGGGGCGGCGTCCGCGGCCACGGCAAGGTCATGAGAGCCAGAGCGGGCGACACTGGTTCATAAACCTACGCAGGTTCCAGGTGTACATTCTGTGACCCATCTTCTGTGTGGTGTGTTGTGTTGTGTGCTCAGCCCCCAAGTCGTCTCCTTCCATCAGCACTTCCCCCTCCACCCTCTTCACCTCTTGCGTGGTGACCTTTCTACAGGTCCCAGGGGCTTCCTCCCGCCGCCCCCGCAGTGTTTGGCTTTTTCAGAAAGTCTCTCCACACCCCTAGAAAATCAAGTTTCCAGCTGGCCGCGTACCTTTGTCCCCCTGGGTCCCCCGGTCTCGGGCTCACCTGGTGCCTTGGTTGTCTGTGATCTCTGCCTGCAGGTGCTGGGTGGACCTCAAGGGGTCCGTCCGGGGCATGTTTCTCCCTCCCCACTTCCAAAGGTGTCGTATGACATCGACTTAAAAGTACATCAGGCCCGGCCGGGCGTGGCTCAGCGGTTGAGCATCGACCTAGGATCCAGGCGATTGGGGTTCGATTCCCGGTCAGGGCACATGCCCAGGTCGTGGGCTCTATCAATGACTCTCTCATCATTGATGTTTCTCTCTCTCTCCCTCTCCTTTCCTCTCTCTGAAATCAATAAAGATATATTAAAAAAAAAAATACATCAGAAGCACCTTTTCCTCTGTAATTGTTTTTTCTTCTTCTCATCAATCTTCTTTATTTGGGACACTTTTGTCACTTCCGATCCCTATTTTTCCTAACTATTTCCCACGCAGGTAAAATTGCGCGGTTCCTGCTCTTGCNACATCAGAAGCACCTTTTCCTCTGTAATTGTTTTTTCTTCTTCTCATCAATCTTCTTTATTTGGGACACTTTTGTCACTTCCGATCCCTATTTTTCCTATTTCCCACGCTGGTAAAATTGCGTGGTTCCTGCCCTTGTNTGTCACTTCCGATCCCTATTTTTCCTAACTATTTCCCACGCAGGTAAAATTGCGCGGTTCCTGCTCTTGCGCCGACCCTGCACCTGCCTCCCTCGGCGGCGTTGTCATCTCCTTCCGTCCGAGGACCTCAGTTCCCTCTTCTCCGCTCTCCGCGGAGCGTGTGTTTCTTAATCCCGCCGTCTGCTGCTCACCCCTGTGGGGACTATGTGACTCTCGTTGAAAAGCCTTTGGCTGTCGTTTCTTTTTATCATAAGGAGAGGGAACGTGGGCTTTCTTCCCGAGAAGATTGTAGGCGGCCTGCCCTATAGGAATGGAACGGGGTTCAGCGGGAGACCGAGCTGGGGCTGAGCCCCGACTCCCCTGCAGAGCAGCCGACGTCCGTGGAGAGGGGGCTGCGACTCCCTAGGCCTCATCTACTGTTCCGTGAAGTCAGGGTGGCAACACTGCCCTCGCCAGGCCGGGAGCTCGGGAACAGTGTGCGGGAGGCACAGCCTCAGCCACGTCCTAAGTGCCTGCTCCTCGCTGGCACCGTAATTATACTTCATTACGGTTACTGTCAGGTGGACCTCTCGCGCCTTCATGGAGAACTGGTTAGTGGTGATGCTGCATTTAAAGGAGACACAGTGATAAATAAGCTCTAGTGCCTGCCCTCGAGGAGTCTGTAATCTTTAAAGGAGGTAAAATATTCACCAAAGCCTCTAGGCACATGCAGCTATGGATTATTTTTTAAGAGACAACTGTGAGAGCTGCTAACACTCTAAGCGGACGCCATCCGTGGCCCCTTAGATGTGGAACATTGGGGGACTGAGAGGCCAAGAATGATGGTCGGTGTCACCTCAGGCTTCTAAGCGGCTGAGGGACCCACAGCGAGTGGGGCACAGGTCCCTCTGCCTGCACAGGGTGCACTGGGACCCTCTGGGCATCGCCGCGGCCATGAGAGCATGTGGCAGTGCTGTCAGGTAACGTCACCGGAGCCCAGAGAGGGGAGCTCAGCCTCCAGGGCCTGACAGTGGGAGGCGCCTTGGAGGAGGTCACCTTCGAGGTGGATGGTGGAGGTGAATGGGCTCCCCGCGGGGGAGGTGACGGGGGGGCGGGGGCGGGCATGAGTACAGGCCAGAGATGGTCCTGCTACTTTCTGTGCTGTGTTTTCTGGGAACACCTAGCTTAGGAGGGTGCGTGTGGGGACTGGCGGAGGACATGCTGGGATTCAGGTTTGTGCCAGACGATGGGGGTCTGGAGTNAGCGTGTGTTTCTTAATCCCGCCGTCTGCTGCTCACCCCTGTGGGGACTATGTGACTCTCGTTGAAAAGCCTTTGGCTGTCGTTTCTTTTTATCATAAGGAGAGGGAACGTGGGCTTTCTTCCCGAGAAGATTGTAGGCGGCCTGCCCTATAGGAATGGAACGGGGTTCAGCGGGAGACCGAGCTGGGGCTGAGCCCCGACTCCCCTGCAGAGCAGCCGACGTCCGTGGAGAGGGGGCTGCGACTCCCTAGGCCTCATCTACTGTTCCGTGAAGTCAGGGTGGCAACACTGCCCTCGCCAGGCCGGGAGCTCGGGAACAGTGTGCGGGAGGCACAGCCTCAGCCACGTCCTAAGTGCCTGCTCCTCGCTGGCACCGTAATTATACTTCATTACGGTTACTGTCAGGTGGACCTCTCGCGCCTTCATGGAGAACTGGTTAGTGGTGATGCTGCATTTAAAGGAGACACAGTGATAAATAAGCTCTAGTGCCTGCCCTCGAGGAGTCTGTAATCTTTAAAGGAGGTAAAATATTCACCAAAGCCTCTAGGCACATGCAGCTATGGATTATTTTTTAAGAGACAACTGTGAGAGCTGCTAACACTCTAAGCGGACGCCATCCGTGGCCCCTTAGATGTGGAACATTGGGGGACTGAGAGGCCAAGAATGATGGTCGGTGTCACCTCAGGCTTCTAAGCGGCTGAGGGACCCACAGCGAGTGGGGCACAGGTCCCTCTGCCTGCACAGGGTGCACTGGGACCCTCTGGGCATCGCCGCGGCCATGAGAGCATGTGGCAGTGCTGTCAGGTAACGTCACCGGAGCCCAGAGAGGGGAGCTCAGCCTCCAGGGCCTGACAGTGGGAGGCGCCTTGGAGGAGGTCACCTTCGAGGTGGATGGTGGAGGTGAATGGGCTCCCCGCGGGGGAGGTGACGGGGGGGCGGGGGCGGGCATGAGTACAGGCCAGAGATGGTCCTGCTACTTTCTGTGCTGTGTTTTCTGGGAACACCTAGCTTAGGAGGGTGCGTGTGGGGACTGGCGGAGGACATGCTGGGATTCAGGTTTGTGCCAGACGATGGGGGTCTGGAGTCTTCTCCTCCAGGGACTGTGTGAGATGTTAGGACCTGGAGGGCTCTGAGGTGGCCCGAGCTCTGGCCGACATAGCAGAATGGTACAGGGCATCTGGAGCGAAGGCGTGTGTCAGGGCTTCAGAGGGAGGCCGTGCAAAGACCCAGAAGGTTCCATGAGAGCAGAGGAGTGGAAAGGAGGACGGTGTGAGCCAGGGAGTGGAAGCCAGCAAAGGCCCGGGGTCCCACTGCGGTCCTCAGGGCGATGGGAGGCGACCCAGTGGGAGAGGGAAGCAGCCTCACTGGTGTCCACAGAAAAGACAAAGACACTACGTTGCCTCAGTGAGGTCAGCGGGGCCTCTCGGCTGGGACCCCTGCCCAGGGCTCTCGGACACAGCGGGTGGGGCTCCACTCTGCCCATCAAGCGGCTCGAAAGTCCTCCATCGCGACGGGGCAGGTCCTTAAGTCATTTTGTGTTGTGATGACATTGAGATGTTACAGGAAACTCACCTCCTATTTATGTCAACCAGCCCCTGAGAAAATTGCACTCATTGTGCTTGAATCTCAGAACCCACCCACGACGCGTGGGGACTCACTGTGCCGTGGGTGCCAGCACACCGGCTGCGTTTTACCGAGGGGCCCCCTGGAGGGAGCGTGGGGCAGGCTGTCCCAGGCCCGGCTCTGACAGACTCGGGACTCCTACGCTCCCAGCCCGGCGGGTGCCCTGCTCCAGCCCCTGTTTCCAGGGCGGGTGTCGGAGGGAGCATGGGTTTGGTTTGTGGTCACCGACTAACAGGGGCCCCCATGTCTCCCCGACGCTACTCCACAGCATGGAGTTGTGAGTGAAAGAAAACAGGTGCCATTCCTGGAAGGGCAGGGGCGGGCGCCCCGTCAGAAACGTGCTGTTACCTGCCGGGGCCTGGAGCCACGCTCACCTTCTCTCTCCCCATTTTCTCCCCCAGTGTTTGTGAGGTTCAACTCCAGCCACGGGTTCCCGGTGGAGGTCGACTCGGCCACCAGCATCCTCCAGCTCAAGAAGGCGGTTGCCAAGCGACAGGGGGTTCCAGCCGACCAGCTGCGTGTGATTTTTGCGGGGAAGGAGCTCAGGGATGACTTGGTGGTGCAGGTGAGTCTCCCGGGGTTGTTCCTGGGACCAGCCGGCGGGACTCAGGCAGCTTCCTCGCCGAGGCTGACCCTCCGGCCCTGGGGCTAATAGAGTAAGTCACGCCTGGGGATTCCCGAACTTTCCTCCAGCGCTTCATTAACCCGACCCTCTTAATTATGCGCTGGAGCAGCCAGCAGGGAGCCGCAGACAGCCGGGTGGCGAGCTGGGGCGGCGCTGGCCTACGGGCTCCGGGAGTAAATGTTTACCGACTGCGAGCGCCAGGCCGGTTGGCGTCTGGTCGATCTCTACCTCCCGCGTCCCGTCGGAATCCTAATGAGGAAGGCGCGGGATAAACTTGCAAATCAGGCGGCTCCTCTCCCGCGGAGAGGGATTTGTAACCCAAGTGTGACCCCTGGAGGACCGGAGGCACCTCTGCGCTGGGACTCCCGGCGCAGGTGCAGGGTGCAGGGCCCACTGGCAGCAAGCTGGGGGCTCCGTGCCCCGCGGACATGTGCTGAGGCCGGCGGGAAAGCGCAGCCAAAGTCCACCTTTGTGCCTAATGTCTCCAAGCGTCAGTAAGACTTTCCCGGGACAGGACCCGTTGGAGAGGGAGCCTGTGTGTCTTCTCTGGGGCCTGCACAGCTCTGACACCAGGAGGCCCGATCCTCTCCGCCCAGGGTTCCCCTCAGAACAGCGATCTCTGCGGGAATAGGGGAGGACCGGTGAGGGGACTAGCGAACCCCGCGTCACCTCTGAGGGAAGCCGGCAAATACGGTCCCCCAGGGCCTGGAGTGACTCTCTGTAGGAGCATGAGAGACGCGACGCCGTCTGTGGAGGTTCAGGGGCGGCTGCTGAGGGCCCTGCAGACACATCCCCCTTTATAGCCCGTCCAGCTCCTGGCGACAGCTGTGTGGGGGCCGCTCTGCACGGGGCTGCGGGCCTGGCACAGGGTGTCCCTCCGTGTTTGACACCCTGTCACCTCACCGTCTCTTCCGGGATGAAGGTAAACTGCTCTGAGAAATGCTTTCAGAGTTCGGGAGCACAAAGGGAGCTATAGAAATGCAAATCGCCCCACTTCGCGTCCTCAGCTGAGGGGAGGCACCGGCTCCTTGCGCGCAGACTGCTGTGGTGGCTTTCAGGCAATTGCCTTCTATGAGGGAAGGGCCTGCGCTAAAAGTGTTTTGATTTTTTTATTTCAGTCGACAAAAAAGCTTTTACTGTACCTGCCAACCTCTAAATCCAAGAGTGTTTCCTTCACAAATAAATGATTGTAAAACGGCTCCTTGAACAGAAATGTTTTATGTTCCCAGAAGTTTGGGATTTGAGGTCCTCAAGCTCCTCGCCTCTACCCCCGCCCCCACTTACTCGTGCATGTATAAGTTATCTATGGATTTAGATTCTTTATTTTGACAAACACCAAAGACAGGCAGAACTCATCCCCGCCTTTGTGGAGACAGCTCCTTATGTAGGGGTTTAAAACAGATGTATTAGCCTGAACCATATGGCGTAGCTGAAAACTACCAGCAGCCTCCTCGGTTTAGCCCAGTAGCTGTAACATAGGACATGCTAACTAACTGCCCTATGAAAATGGAACCAAAATACCATGAGGTTGTAACGGTGGAGAAACAGGTCTCAGGGGTCGCCACGAAGAAAGGCTTCGTGATGAGTTGAAGCTTGAGCACAATCTGGGGACGGAGAACGCGCGTGGTGTGTGCTTGGGAAAGGCGCCGGTCCCTGTTGTTCTAGAGCCCGGAGGAGACTGCAGGTTGGCCCAGAGCGGGACTCAGAGCACCCACAGGGCCTCAACTGCCTGGCGTTGAGGTCGCCTGCATGGGGAGCTAGAGGGAGATGGGGCCCTGGAGAGAAGCGGGAGTCAGGCCGTGTGATCGTGGGAGGGCCGAGGAACCCTGCACCTAGTGAGAGGCGATGCCCGCAGGAGGCCTGCGTGGACACATCCAGCAGGCAGCTGAGAACTTGGGCGTGGAGCTTCGGGCAGCTTTATTCACATGAGATTCCCATTATTTATTCACATATTAGTCGCGATGGGTTGGTACTTTTTCTTTGTAAAGAGTTCCTTCAGCTCGTGCAACCGAGTATTCAGAGCCCGTATTTAAGGACAGCCTGCCTGGAGGTGGATCCTGTGGTCACTGGAACCATTTAGGGGGCAAGGGAGGAGCCAGGGAGGAGGCCTCCGCCGCCCCTCTGCTCCCCTGAGGAGAGTTCAGAAGAAGAAATTACTGTGAGGGCGCCTACGGGAAGACGAGGGGCCCGGGGGCTTGGTGACTGCAGTGGCGACTTGGTGGCCTCAGGACTCCAGTCCTGGGCAGTGGCTGGTGAAGGCTGCACTGCGGGGCTCGGGGAGACACAGGAGAGGGGAACGAGCAAGGAAGGAGAGCCAGAGGGAGCCCCTGGAGCGGGGCCTGCAGGGTGGCCGGGGCCCAGCAGCCTCTGGCCCGGGACCAGGCCCTCGGCCGACTGCTGCGCAGTTGTCATCTGTGGGAAAGCGCAGATTCACAGCCCGGTTTTCTCAACTTGGGTCATCGGCACTCTCCATGTTGTGTGATCTTCATTTCTAAGTGTACGGGCGATGCCCTACGAGTTTATACCATAATAACATAACTCAAGCATTTGGGGGGGCCTAATTTTTAATATTACAAATTAAGGCAAAACAAATCTTAAAATGTATCTTTCATGCTCAGAGAATGAGGCTGCCTGGGGTTCAGTTGGCTCGTTGTAAAGTAGGAATAATGAGAGTACCTGTCTCCTTGGGATCCTGTGACGACTGAACGGGTCAGTTGCTGTCAGGCTCTCAGGACAGAGGGTGCTATGCAGTGAACGCTGGATCGCGATTCTTAGCCTTTCGCATCTCACGGCACATAAACTAATTACTAAAATCGTGCAGCACACCGAAAGGTATATTCTATTTTTTGCCGATCTGACGAAGGAAACAGATAATTCTGATTCCATCACGCTGGCCTGCTGTTGTGCGGGCTGTTGTCATTTTTGTATTAGACGGTCTAAGGGAAGAGGTCAGTGCCCCCGACGGATCAGGTATCGCGTGTTTTAAACATCCTGCGGCACGTGGGTTGAAAGTCGCTGCACTATATAAATATTAGCATCTGTTAGCGTCAGCGTCAGGCAGTTTCTTCAGCATCTGAGAGATCACCTTAGATAACACAAGACTCACTTCATCATGGATTATGCAATAAGTTAAAGTTAAGGCGATGATAGGATGAGTGTTTTACTGGGGAAAATATATATATATGTGTATATTTGTGTGTGTGTGTGTGTGTTTGTATAATTTTTATATATTTTAACTAAACTCTGTGGAGTTTATAAATAAATGTTTGGCCCTCACACATACAGCTTTTACTTACCTTAAGAATAGTAGGACTTGAATTTATCAAACTTAAAAAGACTTTACAGTTCCTCTGAACATATGTAGTAAAAGCAGAAACCTCTCGTCGCATTGTTCAGCAGAGATTCATCATGGTGTTACTGCTTTTAAAGTGCATTTTTATAGCATGGATATCTGCCATGCTCTGCTCTTACAGGGAGCAGATCGGGAAGAGTTCACACCTTTCCTACGCCGTAAGCAGAGCTCTGTGCATGTTTGTATTATTTCTCTCGTACCTACAAGAGCCCAATATAAAATATTAATCTCTGACATATTACTCACAATGGCTTGATATTTTTTCTTTGTAAGGAGTTCTTGTTAACTCATGCAACAGAGGACTCAGGGCCCGTTCAAATAATGGTCACTCCTCCTACCCCCCGCATCTAACATGCTACACATCAGAAACCCCGAGAATCACCGCCACATAATTTTAACTTTAGTGTTGAGAATCCCACGAGGAAAACAAGGCTCTAATGTAGTTGTATATGCGAAACCGATCATCTTCGCAATTAGATGAGCTGCTAAAATGGCAGGGACTTCAGTACTTATATAAGATCTTGTTTGAACAGAACTCTGTATTCACACAAGCTGTGTTGTTATTAATGTCGTTAATATCAGTGCAGGTTTATTAGCTCGTGTGTTTATTAGTCAAGGTTCTCCGGAGAAACAGAACCAATAGGTTATGTGTGTGTGTGTGTGTGTATATATATATATATATATATATATATATATAGTATATAGGACAGGGAGGGAGGAAGGGAGATAGATGATAGATAGATGATAGATGATAGATAGATAGATAGATAGATAGATAGATAGATAGATAGATAGATGATTGATAGATAGATAGATAGATAGATAGATAGATAGATAGATAGATAGATAGATAACAGATTTATACAAGGAACTGTCTCACGCAGCTGTGGAGGCTGAGAAGCCCTAAGGTCTGAGTGCTTGGGCCTGAGAGCCAGGAGAGGTGACGGATGGAGCAGCCCCAGTCTATAGGCCGATGGGCTTGAGGCCCAGGGGAGCTGATGTTTCAGCTCAAGTCCAAAGGCTGGGAAACAAACTGGAGTGCCACTGGGCAGGAGGAATTTCTTCTTGTTCTGGGAGGGTCAGCTTTCTGGTTCAGGCCGACTGGAGGGGGCCACCCATGTGGGGGAGAACCATCTGCTTTACTCAGTCTGCTGAGTCAATGTTATCTCACCCAAAAGCACCCTCCCAGACACACCTAGACTCAGGCCCCACCAAATGCCCGGGCACCACCCGGTCAAGAGGACACTTAAACTTCACCACCACAGCCAGGACATGCAAACCTGTTACCTTTATTAACGTTATAGGGAAGTTACTCTATCTGTATTCTTTTGGTAATAATAAAGTAGACTTACAAAATAGGAAATAAAATAGGACTTACATAGAAATTTTTGCCCTGTAAAAGGGTTCATCCAGGTGGATGCTCATAAACTCCTTTCAGCAAATAACTCAGTTTCATGGCGTTTCAAATGTGCATGCACATTGGAGACCGTCGTTCCATAAAGTGGTTTGCTCTGCGGTCAGTATTAAAGGGCATCCGTTTATTACCCGCACTCTTTTAATCTTTATGATGACAGATCTGAGTTTGGAG